GCCGCTGGTGGTAAAATTATCCTGCCAGCAGCAATTTTCAGAAAGTAAAAGGTTTCTTGTCTCCTGTGCTGCCCAGTGGCTTCCCCAGGATGAAAGGGGTCCAAAGGGAGCTTTGGTTGCCCCTGGAGGAGGGGAAATCAGAAATCTTTAACTCCCGAAAAACTGACATCATCCATTTTACATGGCGTAACTTTTGCCAACAGAATTTCAGCCAATATGATACGATAGGTTTTCTTGAATATGGAAAAGGGCAGAGAAAAAACTGGCAACTACTAGGCAATTAAGAGCAATTAAGAGCTAATCATGCTCTTTGAAATAGAAATTGATGGGTTTCAATCAGAGATCACAGAATAGTGAAATCGGAAGGCCATCAAGTCCAACCCCCTGATCAATGCAGGAACACAAATCAAAGGATATCTGCCAAGTGGTTGTCTAAATTTCTCTTGAATGCCTCCAATGTTGGCGCTCTCACCACCTCTCGAGGGAATGGATTCCATTCCTGTACTGCTGTAACAGTAACACTAACAGTTTTTCCTGATATTGTATGGAAATCTTGCCCAGTTCTTTCAGTCTTTCCTCATAGGGCTTCGTTTCCAGCCCCCTGATCCTCCTCGTTGCTCTCCTCTGAACTTGTTCCAATTTGTTAGCATCCTTCTTGAAGTGTGTTGTCTAGAACTGGACACAATACTCAAGGTGGGGCCTGACCAGTGCTGAATAGAGGGGACCCAACACTTTGCAGGATTTGAAAATTATACTTCTGTTAATGCACCCTAAAATAACATATGCTCTTTTTGTAGCCACATTGCACTGTTGGCTCATATTCGGCTTTTGATCTATGACAATTCCAAGATCCTTCTCACTTGTAGTACTGCTGAGCCAGGTATCCCTTGTCTTGTAAATGTGCATTTGGTTTCTATTTCTTATTCCTGCTGAATTTCATTCTGTTGCTTTTCGGCCCAGTGCTCCAGCCTATCAAGAAAATTTTGAATTTTGTTTCTGTCTTCTATGGCAGTGGTCCCCAACCTTGGGCCTCTAGATGTTCTTGGACTTCAACTCCCAGAAATCCTGGCCAGCAGAGGTGGTGGTGAAGGCTTCTGGGAGTTGTAGTCCAAGAACATCTGGAGACCCAAGGTTGGGGACCACTGTTCTACGGTACAGTGGTGCCCCGCATAGCGACGATAATCTGTTCTGCAAAAAGCGCTGCAAAGCGATTTCGTCGCTATGCAAAAAGAAAAAGCCCATAGGAATGCATTAAAACCCGTTAATGCATTCCTATGGGCAAAAAACTCACCTTTAAGCGAAAATCCTTCATACGGCAGCCATTTTCACTGCCCAGTAAGCGAGGAATCCGGGCGAAAACACAGCGGGCAGCCATTTTTTTTTACCCGGCGGCCATTTTGGAACTGCCGATCAGCTGTTGAGAAATCATCGCTATGCGATAATCGGTAAGCGAAACAGTGTGCCGATCATCAGAAAGCGATTTTTTACCATTTAAAACATCGCAATGCGATCGCAAAAATCTTCATCACTATGTGGATTTGTTGTTAAACGAAGTGCTCGTTAAGCGAGGCACCACTGTATTAGCTATTCCATCCAATTTTGTGTCATCCGCAAATCTGACAAGTATTCCCTCCACTCCCTCATCCAAGTCATTAATAAAAATGATGAAGAGCATCAGGCCCAGGACTGAGCCTTGGGGTAGCTGACTTTTTACCTCTTCCCAGTTGGAGAAGGAGCCATTAATCATCACGCTCTGAGTATGATTCTGTAACCAACTGTGAATCCACCTGACACTTGATCTATCCAGCCCACACCTAGTTAGCTTGCTAACCAGGATATCATGCGTCACTTTGTCAAAAGCTTTGCTAACGTCAAAATATGCTATGTCTATAGCTTTCAAGGCTCCAAGAGCTGCATTTTCTACTCCCGGGATCTGCTGTTGGTTGCACAGCCCCTCAAACTAAAGCTAAAAATCCATTTTCTGCTTTCTAGCTCCCCGTTGTTAGCAAAGTAAGATACGAGTTTTGTTTCCTGAAGTGTAATTCTCATATTTTATTTTATTTTAGGTGTGATGGTAGCACATCTGGAAGCCACAAAATCAGGTGGGGTCCACATGGGCCAGGTACGGTCCAACCTTTCAGATATACTGTATACCACAAATCTACTCTCTCTTGTAACTGAAAGTGAAATGGAAATGCACACACTTATGTCTTATTGGTTTCTACCCTCTGTATAACAAAGTCTATGGACCCAAATTATGAAACGGAACAATAAGCACCTATGCATAAGATACCTATGCATAAGACTCTGCTTTATGTGGAATCAGGCCAAATATCTGTCTGGTCTATTATGTCAGCTGCTCTTCATGGTCATGATTTTTCCCATTAGCTGGCACCCGTTCTCAGAGATGCTGGAGAATGAAGCTGAGTCCTTTTGAACAAGTGCTCCACCACTGAGCAATAACTCATCTGATTTCTTTGTTTCCCAAAATACTTGCACATCAAACCTCCTCCCCTAAGACAAAGTACAAGTTCACTGAGGATACATGGATGATTTTTTAAAAACCCTGGCTCAGAATAGCTGAGATTTAAAAGGACTGCTTTTACATGTTGATGTAAAATCTTTCTCCTCTACTGAGCTCAGGCCCCAATATCTCATGTCAGGGAAACATAAATGGGGGAACAGAAAATGTTTCTTAGCCTACATCTCTCATCCGTCCTAGTCAGCATAGTCAAAGGTGAGGCACTCTGGGTGCTGTAGTCCCCCCAAATTCTGAGGTGTCACAGGTTGTCCATTCTGTTTCACATATACTGTTTTACTGCACTGTTTTTAAGTTACCTGCAGAGCATAAGAGATGGAAAACCCCACAAGACCTGGACTGAGATGTGATTTGTTTATTACAGCAAGCAAGGATGCAAATAGGATGATACTATTCCCAAGGAATTCTATGTTTGTGGCAAGCCACCTGGAACAACAGAAGAAAGATGATTGTGCGTCTTAGCATTCCCCACCTGTTTATAAAATATCCCTCTATTAATTTTTTTATATAGCCATGCATTTACATCCCTCATTTGTAACATCCCTCATTTTTAATCACAGCTTAAAAAAAATAAAAATATAACCTTTTAAAAACATTTATATCCCGTTTCTGTTCAAGAGCACCCAAGGTGGTTTACAGAATTAAAATAAACAGCATTGAAAGCTAGAAAATAATAACTTATTATAGTACTATTTGAAAAGGAATGACACAGATATACGTAATATTAAAACTGTCAACCCAGCAATAAGTTCTTTGCTCTGCACTGACAGCATACCAGGCACATTAGTTGGTACAAATTAGTTCCAATTTGACATCACATCTCTCTCTCTCTCGCTCTCTCTCTCTCTCTCTCTCTCTCTCTCACACACACACACACACACACACACACACCAGGGTAGCAGCCCAGCTTCTTTCTTTTTTTCTAAAGCAGCCCCATTGTTGTCAGCCTTGCTGCAATTCTATATCCTTGGCAAACCCTATTACAGACACAGGGGGCAGGGGATGCTAGCCAGGCAATAAAAGAGGATCGGAGAATATTCTGAGGAAATTCTGGCAGATGGCATTCTTTAGCAAAGTAGTGATGGCTGAGAAAGAAAAAGGAAAATTTTTGTTGTTGTTATCCTTCTATAGCACCTGATAATCTACAGGCATATTGTCTCTGATTCACAGCTTGGAAAAGTATTTATTCCATATTTTTTCATTCATTTTCACTAAAACTCTGGAATACTCCTGCTACCAGGGACGCGCTGGCTGGTGCATTCTGGGAGCAGTAGTCCAAAAAACCCAAAACCTTCCCAGGCTCTACTCTGATCTTAGAGGTCAACTACAACTAGGGATGGGGGCTCACGAGTCACAACTCGCTGTCAAATCCAACTTAAGTTGCACCAGTTTCGCTGTCAAATCCAACTTAAGTCGCACCAGTGACTTGACTCTGACTCGACTCGGGTATTTTTGAGGCAAGCTTGGACTCGCACCTTGGACCTATTTTTCCTGAGTCATGTTTCAAGTCCTTATTAGCAATGGCCTTCCCTACTTGCCTCTGCTGCCACCAGCGCCATCATCCTCAGAGGCAGTAGGCCCAGCTTCCCTTCCAGGAGCTGGGTGCCGCCTCCGCCCATGCGCCCGCCATCCAGCTGATACGCTCAGCACATGTGCAGAGGCAGGGGCCAGCTCTATGCGTACGCAGCACATGCCCGCCCTGGGGTGGCCTCCAGCCTCCAACTCATGGCTTGGGCCCAAAGACGCGCCAATATCCCTGGCTATAACCATGGATATATAATAAGAAAAAGAAAAAGGATCTCTCTGAACAAAGTCCTCCCCCCCCCCCCCCCAGTGTTGCTCCTGTCAGCCGCCACCACACAGAAAGAGGCCTCCTGGTTTTTGTCCACCTTGAAATCATTCTGCCAAACGAAACGCTGCTGGGCATGGTACGCACGGATGACGCTGCTTCCTTCAAAGGTCTCGGAAATGTTGGAGTATATGGGAGAACGGCCTGCAGCTTCAAGTCGCTTAAGCTGGCATGAAGTGGTAACAAAGAAGGTCTGAGAGAAAAAGAATTTTAAAAAGGTTATCTGACCAGTCTTTCCTCAGTGGCTGAGGAGGGCGAGACTTGCTTTCAGCTCTCATCTGGTTCTGTTTGAGTTTCTGTAGTTCTGGATTAGCTCAGACCTGTGGCAGAAGGGCATAAACTATGAGGAGATGCAGCGTGGCAAAGCAGCTGCAGTGCCAGAGGGCTCAGAGAGTGCTAGAGACGTTGGTGCTCTCAGTTCAAGGCCCCATGGAGACGAGATGGAACTCAGTCATTGACTCTGGAACGGTCCTATTGCTTTTTGTGACCTACTTCAGAGGGTGGCCAGAATGACATGGGAAGGCAGTGAGGCAAAAAAGAAAGAAAGAAAGAAAAGAAAACAAAAGAAAAAAGGAAGGAAAGAAAAGCAAGCAAGCAAACAGTACATTCTGCAGACTTTGCTTATTGGTTCATCTAGTTAATCTATATCTGCCTTCCTCAACTTGCAGCCCTTGATATGATATGCAGTCCAACAGACTACGTATCACCCCTTTCCAAAATGGTCAATAAAGAGAAATGACATGGAAGATAAAATAATGGGAGCAAAGGAAGAGGATAAATCAAAGGTAAACCTATGTCTTGACCTACTTTAAAGGATGGATTGTTGTGGAAAGTCAGGATGCAATTACGAACTAGTTAATAAAGGAAATAGAGGTCTATAGTTATTTGAAGGGACACCTGGTGTTGTGTACACGTCTGCTCAATGTGTTGGCCCGGAACTGAGAACTTTCAAATAATTATGTTTCCAGCTGGAAGGTGCCACAACCTGCCCTGATCATTTAGAACTGAGGCCCACATCCTTGTACCACACATCTCCACGCCACTCATGAGAGATCTCTACTCCCTGTCTCTGAGGAGTAAGTGTTGGACTCCTCCAGCAAGTAGAAAGACCCTGTGGAGTGGATCTAAAGCAACATCTCACTGCACTAACTTTCATCCCTTCCAGAAGAAACCAGTATCTACAGAAAAAGGATTCTGGCCCTTTAAGAAGCAGACAAAGCACTGAGGGAGTCGGGTTTCTGGAATCTTTCCCAGCCTGACTGTCACAAAATCACAGAAAGGCAGAGGTGGAAGAGAACCTAAGGATCGTCAAGTCTAACCCCTGGTCACCCTTTTATCAACATGTTCCAGCTTGTCAATAGACTTCTTAGACTGTAGTGCCCAGAACTGAACACAGACTTCCGGGTGAGGTCTGACAACGCACAGAGTGGGATTTTTTTCTTAGGTATAGACCTTGTAAACCCTAGCTAAGCTTGTTTAATACTCTGATTGTAGGATTACCTTCCATGCTCTTGAAATAAAAAACAAATGCTAACTTCAGACACATGTTGTTCAGGCTACTCTGTAAGTGCTCTTTGGGTCATCTAGTCGCCTACTGTCCCACATCAGAACTCCTCCATTTTTTGCACACACAAAAATACTACAAAAAATGCCCCAAACTGAAAAATCCACAAGAATTATCATCCAGAAAGAAGAGCTGTTTGCATTTATCATTCACTTGCAAGAGCAAAATAAGTGAAGATTATATCTATACATATGACCAGCATCTTAGACCCTGCTTAAAGGGGGGGGGGACTTGTAGCCTGCATAATTATCTTGTAAACTGCCCAGTGCTATGGGGCAGTATATAAGCAGCACACTTTGCTTATTTTGCTTTTTCTTCTTTGGAATGATCCCCTATTTCTGGGCCCTCTTTTTTCTGGGCTTTACAAACATGTAAAGAACTTGCTTGGGCCAGTCTGCATCTGGTTTAGGACCTGTAAATATTTTCTTTTCTTAAGGATGGGGGAAGGAAAGTGGGGAAAGGATAGAATGGGATCTTCTACCCAAGTGGAAGACAGGGATCTTTCCCCCCAAAACAGACTATTGTCAGCATGTTGCCCTGTCTACCTGAAACACAGCATACAAGACTGTTAGCGGAACTATGACCACGATGGCTATTGGGGTGACTACGAGAATCACAGTATAGATCTCCAGCAGGTTAAAAAGGAATCCCAGAAGAGACTTCAGCTTGTCAGGGATGATGGTGTCAATGGCATCAATTTCTTTGGAGAAGCGGTTGAGGAGGTTGCCACTGGGTGTCTGTTCAAAGAAAGCCAGAGGTGACCGGACAATATCGTTGAGCAGATGCCTGAAGAGTTTACGTGATGCCACCGTCCCAGCCAAGAACACCATGGCTATAGATCCAAACTTTCCAATGGCTGTAACATAAGATGTGAGAGCTCTTTTGAGCTACAGAAAATATTATTTCCTTTCATTACTAATTTTATGACATTCCTTGGGGAAATTATTAGCTTCGATAGATAGATAGATAGATAGATAGATAGATAGATAGATAGATAGATAGATAGATAGATAGATAGATAGATAGATAGATAGATACACAGATACACAGATAGATACATACGTACGTACGTACGTACATACATACGTACATACGTACGTACATACATACGTACATACGTACGTACATACATACGTACATACGTACGTACATACATACATACATACATACATACATACATACAAACAGTGGTGCCTCGCTTGACGATGATAATCCGTTCCGTTCAAATCGCTGTTAAGCGAAATTGTCGTTAAGCAAAATTAAAAAATCCATTGAAACACATTGAAAACCATTCAATGCATTTCAATGGGCGAAATACCTCATGGTGCAGCGAAGATCCTCCATACGGCGGCCATTTTCCGGTGCCCGTATAGCGAGGAATCTGTCCTAAAAACAGCAGGGAGCCATTTTGCACAGCGGGTGGCCATTTTGCAACCCGCCAATCAGCTGTTTGGAAATCATCGTAATGCAAAGAATCGGTTCCCGAAGCAGGGAACCGATCATCGTGAAGCGAATTTTCCCCATAGGAACATT